ATATATATATATATATATATATATACATACTGTAATAATTGATGAGTTATGAAAGAATGTATTTTACCTGTAAGGATCATGTCATAACAATGTCATCTAAAGGAAAATTGTATTTCTTCCAAAGTTTTTCCTTTTGTTTCAGGAACCCATAGTTTCACAAACATCAGTGCAATAGTAGACACAGCAGCATAGATGATGAATGTTCCTGTACAAATGGTAGCACTTCAGTAGATTTGGTTACAAAACTACATACACAAAAAGACACACATACACACAAAGGATACCTCCACTGCTCCAGTTTAAGAGTAGTGGTGCTGTCATTGTAATAACTGAAGCTGCCAACCAATTAAAAAGTGTCGCTACACTGCCAGCGAGACTCTTGATGTTTACCGGAAGTATCTGAGATGAGAAGAAAGCCAAAACATCTGATTACTTAAAATCGGTGCGAAAATTAGTTCATAAAACCATGGCAGCAACCACAAAGAGATCAATATTATCCAAATACTGTCATTGCTATTACAAAGTGGACTGGACTGAACTAGCCAGGCAGGTTCATAATTACTTAATGAAAGCATTTGAAGCATTCAAGACCATCAGCTGTTCACAAATGTTAAGAACATTTTATCAGACATCACATTTCTGAAGTAATATAAAGCTACGACTAGAGATGCACAAGGCCTGGGATTTTTTTGAGCCTGAGCCCAGACCTTCCAAGCCTGTTTTCAGTGAGCAATCTAAAAGGCCCGGATTTTTAAGGTACAGGCTGGGCTGGGCTGGGCTTTGAAGTTTAAAAAGAGCCCAATCGGGCTTTTTCAGGCGGGGCTTTTCGGTTAACCAGACTTTTCAAGCGGAGCTTTTCTGGGCCAGGTCAATGCCCAGACCTGCTGCAAATATTTCAACCTAATCGGGCTTTGAGGCTTGGCCTGAACCGGGCTTCAGGCTCACTAAGCCCGGGCTTTTCGGGCCGGGTCTTAGGCATGGGCTTTTTGTGCATCTTTGGCTCCAACTATTATGAATAGAGATGTTTGTCAGTCCGACATCAGCTAGACTTTGACCATTTCTCCTCAATATATGTTGGAACCTCCTTTTTCTCCTTAACGGCTCTTTTGACTCTCCTTAAGGGATCTTTTAGAGAGTCATGTAATGGGGTTCCACATATTCTCACATGGTATCAAAGCCGAGGTCTACCGCTCTAGGAACTCGACCACTCTTGGGCAATTTGTACCCATCTAGCCCCCTCTCTACATTTTGGGACTATTTGTGTCCGTCTAGCCTTCATTGGAGGGGGCGTGTTAGACTTCTACATTGGCTAGACTTGGACCATTTGTCCTCAATATATGTTGGAACCTCACTTCTCTCCTTAAGGGATCTTTTGGAGGGTAATTTTATGGGTTCTACATATTCTCACGATGTTAACAAGTAGCTAATTAATAGAAGAAAAGAAGTTACAGCTAAACTCAGCATACCTCAGACATTATAACCCAAGGAATAGGTCCGAGTCCTAGAGAGAAGCCGGTCACCATAATCTGGATGGTTAAATTAACACGGATGTATTCAGCATACAAATATACAATTAACATGGGGGTAAGGGGAACTGGATATCATATTCAAGCAAAGCATACCACTAGTCCAACAAGTGACAACATTCCCAAGAAGCCATAGAAGGACGAATCTTTAGAGACGAGGAGCTGAAAGACAACATACCAAAGCAAAAATAAAAGAACCTTTCAAATGGCAGTCCAGAAATAGATGATATTTCTAAGAATTCTTAAAACATCTGAAACAAATAGAAGTGAAATCATTACTAGCCTTCAAGAAGAAACTCATTGAAACAAGAAGGCTGCTTGCAACCATGAGAAATGTAGACAGCTGCATCATGAAAACATGGTTTTCATTTTCTGCCTAAATTGGTGATATAAGTTCTCAGCTATAATTTCAGAGGGTCGTTACCATTAGAAGAGCTCTGCGACCACTTTTGTCCACCAACGATGTTGTAACTCCAGTAGCAACAACCTACATAAATGTCAGGTGCTGACCAATGACGGATAAGTGTTTTGCATTAAAAATGTCAAATAGGTTACTTGGTAAATACCTGAATAGCACCAAGTCCTAACGTTGCAGCTTTGCCGGACGAAATTCCTGTTCAGAATACAGTTGACAGATCGAGTTCAAAAGATGGAATATTAACTACTTGTCTACTTCACAACCCAAGATTAATCTCCATTTATCCACCAAGTTTGTAGGTCAAAGAAAGGGGCACTTTTGTATCGAGAATATTATATTTACAAGTAAAATGACTCACAAGAGCCTGCACATAAAAGAGCTGTCATGCAACATCTAGAAAACAATCAATAGACAAATAAACAAAGTTACCAAAACAAATCGATTTGAAGCTGAAACCAATATTGTCTACCAAGTAAAATGGGAGCAAAAGGCATAAAGATCATGAAGGGTTTCCCTACAAGAGGTAACGTGCATATATTACACTCATCATTTTTCCGTAATGACTTGAAGCAACCTGATCAATGATGTGTCCCTGTAACCCTTGAACTAAAATTCAGAACATAAGGTATCCTACACTGGCAGTATACAGGGTACATTGAGCGGCAACAGTTCTTGCTGAAAAATCAACGACAGCTCAAAATACAGGGTTCACCACTCCTACACAAGTGCACAGGGAGAAGGGGTTATTTAGGAGGATAACCTCTTGACATTTTTTGTAAATACATGACCTTCTGACAAATTTAAGGATGCCTCTGCCTAACAGAAGAATGTCTCTTCCTAACACAAGAATGCCTCAAAATCCGTCGGCATTAAAAAAACTGTCAGAAGGTTATCCTCCTAATCTAACCACACCAATTGATGCAAAATCGAACATCAAACAAAATCCAAATAATATGCTATAAAAATTTCTCTTTCCCAAAATTTGTATCTGCATAAAGTCATATTCATCATGTCACTTTTGTCCGTGTTCTAAAAGACACGTCATTATGGCAAGGTGCATCTCTACTCGTTTAGCCCCCTTGGCTGTTGTTTCAGGTGAGGTGCCCAAGGGGCGATGAGGCAGGGTTTTTGTAAGCTTTGTATATCTTACATCAATATATTATTTTGCTTTTTATATGAATTTAAATTGTTCAGTATCATTGAGTAACAATATAAAACATATATGATATATGTATGTATATATTTGTGTGTGTGTGTGCATATATATATATATATATATATATACAAACTTGCCGCCTTAAGCCATGCCTTGAAAATCGTTGTGGCTCCTAAGGCTTGACCTTGTCCCCACACCATGCCTCATGTCATTTAGAACATTGCTCTGTATGCCTTAGCAATATAAAATTCTATCAAAACACAGTGAACAATGGCTTAAAGCTAGGTCTTATTGACAATTTGGTCTACCGCCTTCAGTTACTTCTACGGTTGGGATGCCACGATGCATGTTAGATTTTAACCATCTTAATCATGCTCAAATTCGCTTTCACACTCTTTTGATATCAAGCAATCTATGCAGCAGATTTTTAAGTGTCACAATTTCATGACTTCGATCTCAATATTATCAGTTACCCATAATAGATGTGTCTAAAATCGTATGCTTCCAACATGTTCTACAAATAATACGTTCAAGAACTACCAAATTGAATTATAGGTCGACTTTAAAGCTATCTAAGATAAATTGGCTAAAGTGTTGGTTTCACCTTTCTAAAGTCCCTATGACAGCGAAAGAGTAGTCTCTAACATGTATAATGATGCAACATTAAAACTAAAGAGATGAGGGTATCGTTAGAATATAAATATAGAATTTATTTGTTTAGGCCTAGATAGCCCGTGGGCCGTTAGGGTTTCTCTTTCCTAGGTTTCTTGTATATATATATATATATATCCTTGAACCCTTTTGTTGTAAGATACAAGTTAAGCAAAAATATAATCTCTGATTACATGGTACCAAAGCACGGTTTTGTAACAAGCACCGGTTTCACGGATCGAACTTTCTTGGACTTTTTCATCTCTGTTCGTTGAAATTTCTTGGTACGTTTTCTTTTCTTGGATCGGAAGTTTTCTGATTTGTCTCTGTTCGTTGGTGGTTTGGCACCCTGTGAGTGCGTCATTCACTTTCTATGATCTTTTTGGCACCCTGTGAGTGCGCCGTTCTTTTCTGGCTTGCTATCCTTTGTCCTAGTTCAACGGTTTCTGGCCTGTGATTTATTGGAAGATGATCGGAGAAGACAAACCATCTGACAGCAACAGTGGTCCACGTGTACCTAAGATGCTTCCAGTAAATGTTAGACTCACCGACAACAAGCTTTACGACTCCAACTTCTTTGAGTGGAGCAAAACTATTCGTATCTATCTCCGCATGGGAATGGCTTCTCATCTCACATCTGATCCCCCTAATGGTGAGGATTCTGATTTATGGTTACAAAGTGATGCTCGTTTGTACTTGTAGATTATTAATACTATTGAGCCTTCTGTTTCGTCTTTGGTTAGTCATTGTGAATACGTGAAGGATCTTATGGATCTTGATTTTCTACATTTTGGACAAAGTAATATCTCTCGAATCTATAGTGTTTGTGAGTCCTTTCATCGTGGAGAACAACAGGACCAATCACTCATTACATATGTCATGGAGTTCAAGAAAGTAAAGGAAGTGCTTAACTCTCTTCTTCTATTAAGTGTTGATGTCAAAGCCATGCAGACCCAGAGGGAACAAGTGGTTGTTATCATCTTGACTGGTTTGCGCCAGAATTTGACTCTATCAGATCTTAGCTCCTGAATGAATTTGTTATTCCTTCTCTTCTGGAAACATTTGCCCCTGTTCTTCAGAATGAGAATCTTCAGTCTTCTCAAACTTCTGATCACAACAGTGCTCTAGTTAATCGAGGTGGATTCTGTGGTGGCTCCTGAGAAGGATTTCATGGGGGTCATAGAGAGGGCTCTAGAGGTGGCCACAGTGACCTAACAACTGACTCACGTGCTACTATTCCAGATTCTGATGATGTTGAGCATTACTACTGCCATGACCTCGGTCACACCAAGCGCACGTGGAAGAAGCTTTTGGCCAGATGTCTAAGGAGCTCATCAGTGCACGTTGCCTCTGCCTCAGATAGTACTGTTACTATATCCCCAGAAGAATATGCTCGACTTTTAGGGACTAAGAATTTTATTACCCCGACTCCTGGATTTACGGAGACAGGTAACTCTAGTACATGCCTATTATCTTCTGCCTTCAAATGGGTCATTGATTCAGATGCTTTGAATCACATGACAAGTAATCCCACCCTCTTGTCTAATTTCAATAAACACACATCCCCATCACACGTCACAATTGATGATGGGTCTACTCCACCTGTCCTTGGTTCTTGGTTCTGGCACCATCGATCTTACCCCATCTGTTTCGTTATCTTATGTATTGAGCCTACATGCTCGATTTTTAGGGACTGAGAATTCCACTGCTCCAACTGCTGCATTTGCGGAGACAGGTAACTCTAGTACATGCCTATTATCTTCTGCCTCCAAACAGGTCATTGATTCAGGTGCTTCAAATCACATGACAGGTAATCCCACCCTCTTCTCTAATTTCAATAAGCACACATCCCCATCACATGTCACAATTGCTGACGGGTCTACTCTACCTGTCCTTGGTTCTAGCACCATCGATCTTACCTCATCTGTTTCATTATCTTCTGTATTGAGCCTACATGCTCGACTTTTAGGGACTCAGAATTCCACTGCTCGACTGTTGCATTTGCTGAGACAGGTAACTCTAGTACATGCCTATTCTCTTCTGCCTACAAACGATTAAGCCTACCTAACTTCTCCTTCAATTTGTTATCAGTCAGTAAAATTATCTGTGCTTTAAATTGTTGTCTCATTCTTCCTTATTTTTTTATCTTTCAGGATCTGTTAATGAAGAAGATTATTGGTAGAGGGTGGGAAACTGACGGCCTATATATATTTGAACGTCAAATACCTTACTCTTTGATTTGTTCGAGCTCATCATCTCCACTAGAAGTTCATTGTCGATTAGGTCATCCATCTTTACAGAATCTGAAGAAGTTGGGTCCTGAGTTTTCTTATTCACCTTCTCTACAGTGTGAGTCTTGTCAGTTTGCCAAACATCAGAGTGTTCATTTACGTCCTAGAGTTTGTAATAAGCGAACTTCATCCCCATTTGAGTTGGTACATTCTGATGTGTGGGGACCATGTCCTGTCAGTTTAAAACTTGGGTTTAAGTATTTCGTTACGTTTTATTAATGATTACTCTTACACTACTTGGCTTTATTTTATGAAAAATCAATCTGATGTATTTACACATTTTTGTTCACTCTATGCTGAAATTAAAACACAGTTTACAGTCTCCATTCAAACTCCTCATAGTGATAATGCAAAAGAATATTTGTCTCAAACATTTCAGTCATATATGCTTCAACATGGTATTCTTCATAAGTCTTCTTGTGTTGACACACTAGCCCAGGATGGGGTTGCAGAATAAAAGAACCGTCATCTCTTAGAGGTCGTTCGGGCTCAATTATTTCACATGACTGTTTCTAAACTCTTCTGGGCTGATGCTATTGCTACTGCTTGTTTTTTCATCAACTGGATTCCCTCTGTTGTTTTGGATGATAGAAGTCCTTTCTCAGTTCTGTTTCCTATAAAATCATTGCTTCCCCTCGATCCAAAGATCTTTGGTAGTACTTGTTTGTCAGTGATACCCGACCACACATAAGTAAGTTGGATCCAAAGTCTCTGAAATGTGTCTTTCTTGGTTACTTTCGACTTCAAAAAGGGTATAAGTGCTTTTCTCCCACATTTAATCGATACATTAGCTCGAGACGTTATATACCATTTTTTCCTATGTTCACTCCTTGCAACCCAAGAGATAGTGATGATTTGTTGGTATACACTATACATGTTCCTGGGTCTCCTACCCCATCCGACTCAACACAGCCTCAAGAGCCTACTAAACCACAGATAGTTCATGTATATAATAGGCGGCAAAGGCCCGTTCCTGACATTTTATAGGCCCTGGGCGAACATATAAACAGGGTCCACTGCAAGAAACAAGGCTTTTAGCAAAGACAATGTCGTCGCTAAAAGTCCATTTATCATTAGAAAGAGTATATAACATGTCGTCGCTATAACTTGTGGCGGAAACATGTCATCGCTAAAAGACGCATCATCAAAGCTCACTTTTCCTGTAGTGACCCTCAGTAAGTACGAAAAAGAATTCAATAAATGATTTTCATTAGTATAAAATTGAGTACAAGAAATGCTAATAATTTACTAAATAAAGAAATATTATTTATATTTATTATCTATACTATATTATAAAGAATTTGACAAAAACTCTTAAAAAACATTTTTTAAGCATTAAGTACTGTTTATTGATGCATATTACTTAAAATTCAAGATTACAAGTAAATTATGTGTAAATACAATCGATTAAAGCTTCATGTTTGAATCCGTGTAACTAACTACAGATAAACACAATCAAATACAGGATAAACATCTTATTTTAAATATAAAAAATCTAAAATATAATTAGAATAATCATTGAGTTCTAACAAAATACTTAATTATTATCTTTATAAAAAGTTATATTATTAAACCAAAAATAAAAAAATGAATTAAAGGTAATTACACAAAAAAGGAGAAATTTTATATTGTTAGTTTGGTACTAATATCAATATATATTTTTCAAAATTTTATGGTATCTTCATATTTATATTTTATTCAAAAATAAAAGCATTATCGTTTTCTCATAACCACATTAAACCATATTATAACATCGACTGAGACAAAGAAGACGAAACATTAAAATCGAGATGTATCTCGCTGCTTTGCACGAGCACCCTTCTAGTAGATATATAAGAGAGTACTTAAATTTACGTACTTCTTATTAGGTAATTTGAAACCAAGAGTATAGAAACTATGGTTGATAATTTTTTACAAAATTCTTAGTTCATAACAAAAAATGTGTTATTTTGATACAAAAAGAAAATTCGTGTAAATGAAGTAATCGTGAGGGTCAATGAGAGATCAATAATCAAGAAGATTATCAAGGTTTTCTAGACAAGTAGACAAATGAGGATCAATAAGAATATGAAAGAAAAGATGATCCATTGAGATCCAATAAGAATAAATAATAAATTAAACATATAATATGCAAGTTCAACAAATGATTGTTTGAGCACTTAAATAGAATCTTGTGGTGTGGTGGAATCTCGATGAAAGATTCATAAGTCAAACAATTGATGAAAATATTTAAATTCTATTTTCCTTTTTTTTTGCTCAACTAAAATAAAATGTTAAGATTAAAAGTTTATGGAAATGACATATATAAGATACATTACTAAATACATCTAGTAGAAAAAATTTACTAATTAATCACAAAACCATGAAACACGTCATAAATTATAATAACAATAGATTGATTGCAAACAATAGTAAAATATTTTATGTAGAAGCAAAAATAGATAACAATAGTCAACAAAAACAATTACAACAACATAACTAAATAACAATAGTCAATAGAAGCAGAAATTGATAAAAGTATCCGACAAAAATATATAGCAATAGCAAGCATATGATCTTAATGTTGAATTGTTGAAGCACGAAGCAGTCAAGCATATAGAGATAGAAATAACCAATATCATTGGACCTTGTTGAAGGTAAAAACATTAGAGAGGCAATACACAATAACATATAATGAATGACCAATTAATTCTTTTTATTTTCTTCTCCAATGTAATTAGTTAATATATTTCTCGGCCCTTATTCTCTACTAAAATCTTTTTGCCTCTTATTATATGCTACAATTTTTTGGGTTTCTTTAATTTATTAAATTCTTTTAGACTACTATTGTATTTTAAGGGAAAATTTGGGCCCTGATATTTTTGGGCCATGCCGCCCTCTCCCAAGGACGGCCCTGGGCGGCGGCAACGACCTACATCAAATCCAGACCCTATACCAACTTCTTCATTGTCTGCAGATCCGCCTAATGAAGATCCTCTTACTTTGAGTGATCCACCACCTTCGATATACAGGATTCAGATCTTGATGTTCCCATTGCCCTTCGCGCTCATGTACTTACCCTATTTTTTCTGTTGTCTCCATGACAAACTTTCCTCACATTCTCATTCTTTGATCTCTACACTTGATTCTTTATCTGTTCCTAAAACGGTTGGTGAAGCTTTGGCCCATCCTCGATGGCGGGATGCTATGATTGATTAGATTAATGCTCTCAATCATAATGATACATGGGATTTGGTAGAGTTACGTGCGGGAAAAAAGGCAAATGGCTGCAAATGGGTATTCACTATGAAAGTCAATCCAGATGGACCCGTGGATCGTCTGAAAGCCCGGTTGGTAGCCAAAGGATATATTCGGACTTATGGGTCGACTACTATGAGACATTTTCTCTGGTGGCTAAGGTACCGTCCATCCGCCTGTTTATTTCATTGGCCGCTACTTATGACTGAGTATTACACCAATTGGATGTGAAAAATGCCTTCTTGCATGGTGATTTACATGAGAAAGTTTATGTGGAGCAACCACCTGAGTTTGAGTTTGTTGCTCAGAGGGAGTCTGGCATAGTCTGTAAACTACGTAAATCACTGTACGGTTTAAATCAATCCCCTCGTGCTTGGTTTGACGGTTTAATGCTGTAGTGACTGAGTTTGGATTACGGAGGAGCTCTTATGATCATTCTGTGTTCTTTACTTCGTCCTCTTCTGGATATATTCTACTTGTGGCGTACGTTGATGACATTGTAATTACTAGGAGTGATAAGACTGAGATCAAGAAGCTAAAAGATTTCCTTGCGTCTAAGTTTCCGACAAAGGACCTAGGTCCTTCAAGATACTTCTTAGGAATTGAAGTATCTCATACTCGGAAAGGGATCTGTTTGTCTCAACAAAAATATTGTTTGGATAAATTGAATGACTATGGGATGATTGAAACAAAACCTTGTGAGGCCCCAATGATTTCAAATATCAAATTGAAAGCACATGATAGAGATCTACTTGAGGATCCAGAAAAATATAGAGAATTGTAGGAAAGCTAAACCCTAAACTACCTGACGATTACACGTCCAGACATCACGTTTCCAGTCAGTTTATGTCATCTCCAAGAACTCCACATTGGGACGTTGTTAGGCATATACTGAAGTACCTAAAGGGTGTCGCTGGTCTTGGCATCCTTTATCAAAATCACGGTCATCATGTCATAGAAGGGTTCACAGATGCCGACTATAAGAACAGACGGTCTTTACAACAAGCTATTGTGTGTTGGTTGGAAGGAAACTAGTTTCGTGGAAAAGCGAGAAACATAATGTCGTTTTCCGTTAAGTGTTGAATCTAAATACAAGGCTATGGCCCAAACCACTTATGAGCTGATATGGTTACGTTATCTGCTAGGTGAGCTTGGGTTTGCTCAATCTATATTGTGATAATGAGGCGGCTATCGACATTGCAAACAATCTCGTGTTTCATGAAAGAACAAAACATATCGAAGTAGACAGCCATTTCACTCGTGAAAAGCTAGAAGATGGAACCATCTCAACTCCCTTTGTTCAAACAAGAAGTCAATTTGCTGATGTCTTTACCAAAGCATTACTTGGTTCGTGAATCTCTTCTATATGTAACAAGCTAGGCATGATTAACATCTATGCTCCAGCTTGAAGGGGAGTGTTCAAATATAAATATTGCATTTATTTGTTTAGGCCCAGTTAGCCCGTCGGCCCTTAGGGTTTCTCTTTCCTAGGTTTCTTGTCTATATACATATCCTTGTACCCTTTTTTGTAAGATACAAGTTAAGCAATAACATAATCTTACCAAAGAAAATTATGTACGCATAGAGGCATTGGACAAGATGAGGGAATGTTGAAGTGTTGTTGAACAAACTTGATAAATGGTGGTATACAGTTTACATATCATGAACTAACCGGCTGAATTGAAGATGTTACTTGAGTAGAATAGAACACCATTTATACCACTAAGTTGCTGAAGAAGAAGTAATCCTATCCCTACCTGCATGACACAGTCCAACAAGAAAAAGAAAATAAAAAACAGAATACAGCTTTTAGATGTTTTTCCACGTTTAAAGAAAGTTGTTGTCTTTAAATTGTAGAACTTAAACATCATACCATTAAAGGGTACCAATATCTTCTTCTCTTAAGTTCAGAAACTCGGATTGTAGCTCCTTTGCCTGATGTTATTACAGATCTCTGTTGGAATTTAGATATAAATATTAAGCATGGAGAGTCTAAATAATGAACATTAGCAAAGAATGAGATCCTGTAAAGATAGTTGAGATTTTTAAATATATTGCTCAAATACTAATTACTCACAGGCTAAAAGCAGGATGAACACAACTGCAAAACATGATAGAAGTTCTATAAAGGTGAAAGTTCATTAATGACAAAAGGGTATGCTATGTAGGATGATTAGTGAGAGCTGAAAGTGATAGAATATCTATAAAAGGTGAAAGTTCGTTAATGTCAAAATGTATGCTATGTAGGATGATAGTGAGAGCTGCCACAGCCACCGAGAGTCAAAATCCACACAAGGAAGGAGTAGCAGCAGATGAAAATTTGTGTACTTGATAAAAAAGGAGGACATCCAAGAGAATTTGAGGTGACACCAATTACAAAAAAATGAGGGAGCATCATCTGGATTGCTTTCCCAATGTAAATTTTCTAATGCGCCCGTGAGAAGGAGTGATTTGCACCACATGCAGGCTGTTAATAGTGATGAGAATAGTTTGAACTTAATGCAGATAGAAGTAGTGAAAAGAGATTTAGCTGCATGGAAACAATCAAGGAACTGGCTTTAGATAATAGAGGGTTAATGAAAGCAATATATACAAACCAGCCACCTAGGTTTTGGCTATGAAAGCTTAACTAGTTTGGACAAGGCATTGTTGAATTGATACTAATCAAATCTTGTACCTTGATCTCATTAAATTCAGCGGAAATATCAGTATCAAATCCCCGCAAAACTTGCAAAGAGGTTTCACAATCTTCCATAAACCCCATCTTGGCCTACAGAACATTGAAGGTAAAAAAACAGAGGGATATAGCTCAAATTACCTGAAAGATGATAAATGAATTAAATTCAAGTTTAAGACTCTTACCAACCAGCGTGGAGATTCAGGAATGAAAAATAGACCAGGTATCAGAAAAATGCATGGCAAAGTTCCTGTAGACGAGACAAGAAGATGCATTAGTTTTGAAGGCTGTTTGGTGTCTGAAGTGAGGAATTTGAAATGTAGAAGATTCATTGTCAATCAAAACATTAAAATCTACTATTGCCTGAATTCCCATATTGCACCCTAGACATTAAGGTCAATCAAGGTCAATGGAGATCTGATTGTCTCTTGTTACCTACTGATATATGATTCAGGAAACGTTTGATCATATTTATCTGATTATACGCTGATGCATTGACAGTATATTCAACAAAGCTATTAATAGAATAAGCTATGTTTCCTTATGCCCACGGAAAAAGGTGATCTGTATATACAACATTGTGCATGTGGAAACAATACTTGGAGTCAGGATGAATGTCATAGGCAGAGGTGAAGAATCCAGTGCTCACACATGAAGTTTTTATGTTACCATGAAAATGCAACTGAAAAGCTGGTGATAACATGTTTCTTGTTGGTTTGCAATGAACTTGAGTGATTCGAAACTTAACTACAGATTTGTTGGTCAAACCTTTTAAGCTTTCAAAATGACTGCTTCCAGCCTTCCACAATTGTGTGTGTGTGTCTCTCTCTCTCTCACACACACACGATCTCTTGCTCTATCTGGGAATATCTGATTCTGGTTTTATTTCACATTCCTTGCTGATGGTACAAACTTGGAGAACTAGGCTGTTAGACTTAAATTGGTTATTGAAGGGTAGTTTTGGAATTTTAATTCAGTTTTGGACATGCTTATTATCATTGTCAAATAAAATTAAATGAGTGAACATCATTATGAGAGTTGGTCTACCTTTGATAGTAGACAAATATCACTAGGAGAGTTGTCCTATCTCTCAAATATAGGCATTATCGTGCTCAGTTTATTTCTAAGTTGATAGTTCCAACATTAACTTACCAGTTTTGTCTATTGAAAACACCCGTTCCTATAATAGACTTCCACTGAAGGGAGCCATTAAACAATTATAACAGAGCTATTTTCGTGTTTACAATATCATGAATAGTTTGATGGAGTAATTTATAGCTAGCCACTGGAGTTTGTTATATGCCAATATCTCCAGCTCTTTCTTCTCCCTCAATGTCTCTCTAAAATCTTACTGTCAACGAAAAGAATTTAGTTCTCTATTCACCAGTGCATCAATGCATTGCGTCACAGTAGATTCTTCTACCTGAATCTGTGATATTCTGTATCCACTAAGCACAATACACACTACTGTGGATTCTACATCACTCTCTATCTATCTCCTCAGCACTACACAATAAAATGCCTAAACCTACTAAATGCTAATCTCTTTTGCCACATGGTTATCTCTTTCTCCATAAGACATGCCATATTCATCATACTGAAGAAACTGGTTTTCCATCAAAACTAGTCCATAGAATCTCTACCTGTCTATATATAGACATCAATATTAAAAAAAGTGACCAAAGGGCCTTCGGCCTAGCGGTATCGTAGTCTTTGACCACCTAGGAGTTCAGGGATTCAAACCTCACCAAAGGTGAGGAGGGTGTGTGAGTTTATTTGTTGCATTTGCCGTATATAAATAGTATATACTTCGAAAAAAATATTAAAAAAAGTGAAAAGTCAGATTTTTTCTGAATCAAAGTTGTTCTTCTGGAAAATTACTTCAACAAAGAAAATGAAGCTTCCAAATTTCCTTTATTTGTAAATGTAATAGGAAAAATGGTTGTAAAACATGACATAAAGCACAAGGGTGGAGAACAAGAATGACACGGAGGGAGATATATTGGAAGAAAACACTCAACATACTTGCCAAGAGAAGGATCCCATTTTGCACCAAAATAAATTAATTATTTTACAGGAACGACTTTAGAAACACGAAAAGTGTTCAAGCATGAGTTCATTAAAAAATTATATTAACCCAATCAATCCATGAACGAACACATGCCATGTTTTGAAAAGAACTACTCTGCCAGAAAATGGACTAAAATCTGTCTACATTTTCATGTACTTATCATTGTATATATGCTCTCCAAATAAGTGTTCTAGAAGTATCCTGATAGGTGTCGATAAAAAATGCCAAGATTAGAGTTCAATACCCTACAGTTTTCAAGAGGGTGCAGTCTCTCCCTATTCAATCGCGGAGAATTGAAATATAATAAATCGATCTATATTCCAAAAGGTAAACAATGAAGGTAACTAAACTAATAAGTAAAAGACTCCTAGTATAAAATGAATCTTAAAGCAAAATAAATAAAACAAACATAAGATAATTATCTGTAAACTTGAGGACTTATCTAAAACTTGTGCTTTATCTTATCTTTTAATCTGCCCTCTTCTCTTTCCTTCTTGAATATGTATTTATACTCTGAAGTCTATCACGTTCCTACTTTCTAAACAGATTATATGATGTAATCAAGTAAGAATGAACTTGAAGAAAGTAAGACCTCACCAAAAACTGCCAGTGCTCTCCATGGAAGAAAAAGTCCCAAAAAGTATGCCAGCAGTATTCCAATAGTGACAGAGAGCTAGAAAGGGAGAAATCCATGTTAAGTTATGTTACACCTGTTCACTCGAAATAATGGGAAATAATGGATGATACATTCCCTAAGATGAAGATTAAATCACAGCCAACCTGGTTAACAGATCCGAGGCTACCTCTCATGTTTTGAGGTGCAATCTCAGCAATATATACAGGAACCTACAGATCATAAGCAAAAGTAATCCTAGTTAATTTTATCGCAAAGTGAACAGAGGATGTCAAAATGAATAAGCGCCTAAGATTTCACCGTGTAAGATATTACTCCAACACCAAAGCCTTCCAATAACCTTCCCATATACAAGAATGAACAATCCTATGAATACCAGGCAAGATAGTAAGGCAGTGGAAATAAATTACATTCGAATCGACAAATATGGCGACAGAAAATTATCAGAGATGATTGCTTATGAGGCTGGGAATGAGCTTAAAGATGGTCACTTACTCTGGCAAATGAAATAGCAAGCCACCCAAGTATGTTAGGAATTGCAGCAATCATCAATGACTGCAGTTACAGAACCAGAAATTTACACCATTCATGAGGTTCATTCATTTATATATTTCTTACAGCAAAACAATCAATACGGATGCAGATTCCATAATACAAAACTGAGAGGATCAACCGCATACTTAACTCACCCCTTTTCGTCCAATGTATTCCGCAATCTGACCACTTGCTATTGCACCGACCATAGCACCCACATTTGCTAAAGAACCAAACACGGAGAACTGTTCATCAACAAATCTTTTCATTCAAAAAGCAATTCCATATTCACCCGAAAATTATTACAGTGAAGATAATGGAGATATTAAAGATCAAACCTCCGAAATTTTTAGTTTAAGATCGGCAATGATATCTGCTTGCGTAGGGTTTGAATACCCACACTGTAACAAAAACAAACACTGGTAAATTTGAGCACACATACACTTCCATTTTCTTATCATACATGGTGTCTGGTCTACGCTAGTAACTGCAGAGAGAGAGAGAGAGAGAGAAAGAGATTACAGTAAACCCAAACTGAATGGGGCCCAATGCGACTATGAAAACACAGAGGAAAATTGAGACGGATTCTCGAAGAATTTGAGCGGAAGAGCCTAAAATGCTGGACTGCCTGGAGCTCATACCAGCCATACGATACCAACTTCCGGTATGGAGGAGTGGCTTTTTGAGGCTGCCACCACCGCCTCCATCGTCGCAGATCTCCGGATCTCGTGAAGCCATTGATCGGAACGGTAATAGTTGGAAATTGTATCAAGAAAGGAACGTGATGAAGACATAGAGTGATATGGGAATGAGCTGTTTCTGTTCGACGAAATGCGAAAGAGCCGGAGAAGCTGAAAAGAGGCCGGAAGACGGAGTCCGTTGTGACAGAGGGACACGACTACGCTTTTCGCGGGAGTTTTCTTCTTTGTTTTAGGATTAATCACACATTAGCCCTCCCCTCACTGCCCTGCAATCTGGTCCAATGTTAACGATTCGAGTTTTTACTTTTTAGTGATTAATTCAACGTCGAGTTTAATAATTTGGAAAATGGAAAATTGCATCGGAACCAACTTTCATCTAATTCTTATTTTGGGGAACCAACTTTTAAAATCATCATTTTGTGAACTAACTTGCACATGATTCCTATTTTGAGGAACCAACTTTCAAAATCGTCATTTTGGGGAACAAACTTGCACCTGATTCCTATTTTGGGGAACCAACTTGCAAAATAATTATAGAAAAATAACTAAAATTCGTTTTTTTTCAAAAAATTAATACAATAAAATCTATTTTTCATTTCAAATCTCGTTTTTTTAATTCAGATATCAAATTGAACATTTTTATAAAAAATCCAAATTACAACAATAAAAATTATTTTTTACTAATGCAAAAAAAAAATCAATTTAATAGAAAAAAATTAATTGATGTAATTGGTTAGATATAAAAATCTTGAAATGTGATATTTAATATTTATTTTTTATTGCATCAATTAAATTTTTTCTATTAAATTGATTTTTTTTGCATTAGTTTAAAACAATTTTTATTGTGGTAATTTGGATTTTTTTTAAATGTTCAATTTGATATGTGAATTAAAAAAACAAGATTTGAAATGAAAAATAGATTTTATTGAATTAATTTTTGAAAAAAAACGAATTTTAGTTATTTTTCTATAATTATTTTGCAAGTTGGTTCCCTAAAATATGAATCATGTGCAAGTTGGTTCTCCAAAATGACGATTTTGAAAGTTGGTTCCCCAAAATAGGAATCAGGTGCAAGATGGTTCCCTAAAATGACGATTTTGAAAATTGGTTCCCCAAAATAGGAATTAAGTGAAAGTTGATTCCATTTTTGTGCAATTTTCCCTTTGGTAAAAGGTTGATTATAGTTAGGTTTGTTTATTTACCTCTTAATAGTTTTATTAAGAGACAACTTCTGAATCTTTAAGAGATGAATCTTGTTTTGGCAAAAAAAAAAATATGTCTCTTAATAGTTCTAAAGCCCTCTGAATAATTTTGTATCATCGGCTTCCCTTAACCATTAAGAGCCATAATTTCATAAACAATTACCAAACAATTATATTTTATTTTGCACTATATCATGAGAAGTCTCTTAATCATTTGAGAAGTCTCTTAATCATTTTGATCACTTAATGATTATGCACAAAATCATTCAGCAACTGTCAAACAGCCCCTTAATTTCAATCAATCCCAAAAAAGAATCATCTTTAAGGAAATCAAAATGAGGGGCATTTTTTGTTCACTCAGGTTAGCAGCGTCTGTGATCGAATCCATGACATGTCTTTTATTTGGGCAAAGTTACTTCACCCCTTTGTCAGCTGAGCTACATACTTAAAGGCAAAGTCAAGTTTAATAATTATTGAGCTCGAGTCGAACTCAAAGACAAGGTAAGGTTTGTTTAACTTAACGAGTTAAGTTTCATAACACCAACATTTTACTTGTATCGTTTAAGAACTCGATTAAAAAAAATTAGTCGAGTCGAATCAAGCTGAATCATTCGAGCAAACACTTTTTTTTAGTCAAACATGTTTGTATTTTAATAAACCGTAAAAATATATATAAATTATCGAGTTCGAATCGGTAGACGAGTTATTCGATTTCAAGTTCGAGCATATAAACGAGCTTATAAAACTTGAATGTTAGGTAATGTATAACTCAAATTTTGTAGAATGAGTATCAAGCTCGAGCTTGAACATCGAAAAAATATACGTGCTCGAACACTATAAAAAAGTTACTTGAGCTCGAGTTTGATACCATTTTTCACGAGCAGAACTAACAATATACAATTCGACTCGGTTCGACTCGTTAATACCGCTAAGTAATGGATAAAATGAGTTTACAATTAAAATGTAGTTATTTTTAATACAAGAATATGAAATTTTGAAAATTGTTCCAAAAAGAAAAATATATCATACATTTAGGGTCCGTTTACCAAACACTTACCAAGTAAGTGTTGATCGGGTAACTTTCCTCACCTGATGCACATGACAAGGACCGAAAATCTTACCCGGTAAAATTGTTCCAAAAAGAAAAATAAATCATGCATTTAGGGGCCGTTTACTAAACACTTACCCAGTAAGTGTTGATCGGGTAATTTTCCTCACCTGATGCACATGACAAGAGCCGAAAATCTTACCCGGTAAGAGCGATGTATTTTGATGATTATTTTTCGATGATAAGGATAGAGAGATTTACCCGGTAGGAATAGAGAGTTTTTGTAATCTAGCTTATTTTCTAACATGTATTTCGATGAAAAATGTCAAAGGGAAAAACATAGACGAAACTCATAGATTTCACCACGGTTTCAACTGTCCTTCTTAGGGGCTGTTTACCAACTCTTATCGGGTAAGTGCTATCCGGGTAAGAGTGCTGACCCGAGTAAGTGCTATCCCGGTAAGTGATGTCCCGACTAAGAATGTTTACCAAATATTTTTGGTAAGTTCTTACCAACAATATAATGACCATTGTAACCCTATTTATAATTATATATTGATTAGGCATTTTTTTCATGTAATTATCCGGCCCAAATGTCATGTGTATTATTCCAAATCTAGATAGAAAGCCATCCATAAATTCAAAGGTTCAGCCCAAAACATCAGCCCACATACATCTTCAATTTGAAAAGCCCAAAAAACACCATACAACAAAACCGACCAACCAAATCAGATCAAATCATCAAAGAACATCCGCATCATATCTATAAACCCTAAAATCCCAGTTCAAAAAGCCTCCCTTCGATTATCTCCATAGATGAAATCATCGAAAACCACAAGAACACAAACCATCAAATCGGAACCCCAATCATCCTCAAACATCCCAACCGGCGATCCCCACCCCCAATCGGCAAAACCACAATCACATGCAGCCATCGGCGAATCCACAGTCAAAATCACATGCTATACCCAAAGGGGAAGAAGATGTATAGTGGGAGAAAGGAGAATGGGACGAGAGTGACGCAGTAAGCACCCCTTCCGAAATAGAAAATAACGTCAAATCGCCTCGGAAAATCAAAATAACCGCCTGCCACAGGAAAATCACAGGAAGAAGATGTATAGCGGTCGAAGACCTGTGAATAGAGAGGGAGAAAGAGGGCAAGTATGGAAACGTGAAATCTGACTCAGGTAAGCATGAAATCGAAGCTGACTGGGTAAGATTTCGGTCAGCATTTCGGTCAGATCTCGGTCAGATTCGTGATTTGGTAAACACACTAACTGCTGACCGAGTCAGATATGCTGACCGAGTCAGTCCGGTGAGCAGTTAGTAAACAGCCCCTTAGTCATGACTAAATGAGGTTGAGACATGCATGTACCCTTCTCGAGCCGTTGATTCATAATCTCGATCAAATCAAGCAACACTTATCGATTCCAACCCATGAATCAACACCTCAAAAGTCATCTTACCCATGGACTTGCCAATAGTGAATCTCGGCTCAAGAACAAAATTGTGTAGGTCCCACAAGAACAAAAAAAATCGTAGAAGCAACATTGTATTCTAAATATCTGAAAACTTTTTAGGATGAATTTTTGTAGATCGCTCTTATTAAAACAGTCACCCCATATCATATCAAGAACAACAAAGAAATCAAATGAAGTGAAACTCCGAATCAAAAAAAAATCCCAAATTCATAAAACCGTAAAATAAAATATATGCAGGGGGGGTCGATGACGACTGCCTTTATGTGTTTTGAAGAGGTTAGGTTTTGGTCAACCATGTGCTATCAACAAGTTTGCTTGATGCTTCCTTTCTCCGATTTAGAATTCATATTTGAATCAAGAAGCCATTTGCTCAAATTCGACCAAGCTTCATGCGAATCCAAGCTTTGATTGTTTGGACTTTGCTACACTTCCTCGTTTTGGTGTTTTTCAGCTTCAATGGAGATTATAATGGGGTTTGGGGGTTTCAGCCTCAATTTCGACGGTTTTGTCACTAAGCATATCGGTGGAAGAAAAAGGTAGATGGGTGAACTTCATTCCTTGATCGATGGATGAAAAAGGAGTTACTAGACAATAAGGGGGGAGGGGATGATCGATGACGATTGAAAGATCGGTGATGGCCGAAAGAATCAAGATTTGAGGAAATATCGAACGCTTCAGGGAAAAGAGGGCAACTTTGAAGAAAGAGAGGGTTTTTTTATGAGGCTAGTCTATAATATAACAAGGGTATTTATGGAATAATCATGGTTGAGTGCGTATGACACACCTATTTGGGCTCACCGAATAAGCACTTGACTAAAGCATTAAGTTGCAGTCGAACGTGATTGTATAGCTTACTGAATAAGCCATACAACCTATACAATCATTAAGTTGCAACCGAACAACCAATAACTCTTAAACTTGGTTACTTGAGTCAAGACTTTAACTCAACGTGGACACTGGACAAGCCAATCCTTCGTAAGTGTTAATATTATATCTTAGACCCAGAGATATGCTGATACGAAAATACGACTTGAATGATGCAAAATATTTGAGAAAGTATTTTATACCCACGTGAAAATATGAGTTTTTGCATGATTCTAACTAAGATTCAAATGTCGGTCAATATTTGCATCACAAAGAGATCATATATTTTCATACTGGTAGAACCACAACCCTTTGAGGTCGACTTAGTTAAATCAACAAGTCTTTAGTTGGTAAAAGTCATCACTTTGTGGGGAACAGGTGACCATTCTCTGTAAGAATTCAATTTTGAGAGAAAGGGACTTCTATAGACGTTTTATAACACATTCTTCTGACCATATTGTTATTACAAATTTCTTAGAAAATGCCGACACTCATACCCTCTTCTTTTAACTATTTGTTTCACTTTAATCGTTATTTAGTATAACTTTAACTCTCACAAATATTGATTATTTTTCAAAAATCAAAACTTGAACCATAAATTCATGAAGATATCTTGATTCTTAGTTATTCCGGTCCATCTGGAAACGATTCAGTACATTACCACTTTATTACTTATAACGATCATAATGTCCTGTATGCACTTGCACCACTACTGTGGCAACACAAGTGGCTACTTCCCGTTATCATGTATGGACTTTTTCAATAAAAAAAACCAAAGGATAAAGGTGCTCCTCAACTAACGACACTTTGACTAACGGAGTTAAGACTAAGGACTAATTTCAAAGCAAAATGCATATACCACCACGGACTTTTTCTGTAGTGTTCTCAAAATAAAGACCACTTTCGTATTTTTCTGCAAACTATAAGGACCAAACATGTAATTTACTTTTTTCCTGATACAGGGCCCTGGTTGAGCATAGGATCTCAATTTCTCTTCTCAAATCAAAATTCCTATGAACCCGCAAGTATCAGGAGCAGGTAGTCACCGGCACCTCCTCATCCAACCCACCACCGCCGTCTCCCTACCACCACCGCAGTATTCCGAAGCCGACAAACCTCCAAATCGAGACCCATATCTCCATTGCAGTGAAGAAAGGAAGAATCCATACATGGACGAACAAACAATCCAGTCAGAGGAGCCCCACCCCCGGCTCAAACCGGAATCCTCATCACCTCAATCTTCCATTCCTTCTCAACCACCACGACCACCAACAGACGAGGAGTCTTTTACTTCCGATATTTCCCAAATTGCCACTTCAAACCCCTCCAAAATCCCAATTCGCCCGCAGAAAATCCGAAAACTCTCGTCATCAGCTGCTATTGGCTCTGTAATGGAAGAAATTAAGCCTCAATCGACAATCGCAGAAGCCGATGCATCCAAAGCCATTGTCCTTTCCACCACCACAACAGCTGTCGTAACAAAAAACCGTCGTCGGAACCCTTCGCGCTCAGCGCTGGATTTGCCAAAAGTGATAAAACCGTTATCCGCACAGGGAGAGATCTCCGTCGCTCTTCGCCACCTCAGATCCGCTGATCCTCTCCTTGCTAACTTAATCGACAATCACCCGCCGCCGACATTCGACTCACATCAAGCACCTTTTTTGGCTCTAACTAAAAGCATTCTTTATCAACAACTCGCCTACAAGGCAGGCACATCGATATACACCCGTTTTGTAAACCTCTGCGGCGGCGAAGATGGCGTAGGTCCGGAAACTGTTCTTTCTCTTACTCCCCAGCAGCTTAAGCAAATTGGGGTTTCCGGGCGTAAAGCAAGTTACCTCTATGACCTAGCTAACAAGTATAACAATGGGATTTTATCCGATGAATCGGTTGTAAAAATGGATGATAGGTCTCTTTTCACAATGCTTTCAATGGTCAAAGGAATTGGGTCATGGTCTGTCCACATGTTTATGATCTTTTCGCTACATAGACCGGACGTTTTGCCTGTTAGTGATTTGGGAGTTAGGAAAGGAGTGCAACTCTTGTATATGTTGGATGAGTTGCCTAGGCCGTCACAAATGGAGCAGCTTTGTGAGAAATGGCGGCCTTATAGGTCGGTTGGGGCGTGGTATATGTGGCGGTTTGTCGAAGGCAAAGGCTCGCTGGCTGCTGGAGCAGCAGCTGCTGCTTTAGTGAGTAATGGTATTATTGGGCAGCAGCAATTAGGCCAGTCTGAACAGGCACAACAACAGCAACAACTCCAGTTGCAGCTTTTGGAACCCATCAATAGCATTGGAAATCTCGGGTAGTTTTTCTCTTGCTTTAATTCACTACTTATTGGTTATATATATATATATATAAATATATATAAACAATTGTCTTTGAGAATCCACACATTTGACATTTTAGAAGTACATAATATTTTTGCTCATCTTGAATCAAATACATGATACTTTATGTTGCCGAGTTGTGTGTCTTTAAGATTTAAGCCATGTTATACCAACTACTAAGATTTAGTGACTCAAGAATTTTCTACTAGGAGAGGGTAAAGAAGGCGCTGCGCAGACATTGTCTAGCCTCCGTTTACTAAACGAATAGTTGATCTGAACAAGTGATTCTTTAGTGTCTCCAGATTGTGGGGATCACCCATAATTAAATATTGCAAGACTATATGTGCAACTGTTCACTTGTGCTTTTCTGAAGGAACCCTGTTTGATGAATCTCCATTTGAGATAAAGGGTTACATGCCCATTGGACTCTTAGGTTATTTGCATATAAGTCAATGATTAAGCCTTAAATGTGCTATCTAATGACTGCAAGATGGAGACTTATACGAAAACTATTATAGGGCATCTATAATTGGTTGAATATTGTATGATCTTGAGGACGGTGCCTTCTCTCTCTCTCTGTGTGGGTTGAATAAGGAATTCAACTCCAAATTTCTACTTGGAGAATATCACATTGTTACATACGACCTTGTACACCTTAAGGTTCTCGATCTTCATCTAAATTTGAACTTGTGAATCATGGAAATTCATCAAACATGTCGTCTTGATGTCTCCGTGTATACTTAATGGCAACTACTTCTGTGAAAAACTAGCACTCTTGTCGTTCATGAACTCCATAAAGTTCCGGTTGTGTGTGTGGACATGACATCATACTCCTATGTCATTGATCTTGATGAAGAATCTCAAGTTTCTGCTATACAAGTTGATATATATAGACTATAGGGTGTAGGGTTTAAAAATGTATGTGTTGCTATTGTTGCATTGCATGAACGAATGGAGGGCGAAGATTTCCTAAGCTTGCTTTTCTGGATAGACGTTGATAATTAGTTGGGAGAATAGGTACCACCGCATAGGTGCTTAGTATGTTTGTTCGTGATGTTGATCTTGGAACCAGATGAAGGTGATGATGACCTTGAAGAAGTGGTGGTGGTGGTTTGAAGAAGATCAAGATTAGGCAAGAATATCAATGCTTTTGAACTTTATTTTATTTTGTTTTTTCCTAAACTTTTTAAAACATATATTAGTTTTCTAGTAGTACTGTATAGTTTAGGAACATTTGATGCTCAACCTTGACATATTTTCTTTCTTAACACATAAGGCTGTTTCCCCAAGTGTTTGTCACTTTGTTGCATGGAAAACTCACCATAGGCTAAGTATTCTAGGTATTTTTTTACCTTTAATCTCATGATTATGGGGCAGGATTGATTTCCTGTGGGTTCTCACAGCTTCAACTAGTGCAACGAATGGAACTACAAAAACAACTTTATTGAATCGAAGCAGAACCATATTTGGGGTACGATTCACTTTTGGGTTTCTTTTAGAGGACAAGTTCTTGCTTCTTCACATCCCTTAAGACTATAATTCCGAAGAAGTTGCTTATTTCTTAATGCAAATTATCGTGTTCATGATAAAGATAATATTTAGGTGTGTATAGTCTTCACGATAAAGATAATGCAAACCTTATTGGAAGTAGTAAACATGTATAAGATATCCTTTATCTCTAAGAACACTCCTCAAGTTCAAGCATATATGTCATACAGGCTCAACTTGCTACATATAAGAATTATGTAAGAAGCACGTAAAGGCTTTGTTAAGATGTTTGATCTTCTCAACATACTTGTACTCACAAAGTCACAATAGTAGGAAGTTTGTTAGAGGTACTAATCATTTGTTACACAATGATGGTAAGTCGGTTGTATTTCTTGAATTTGCTAAAGGATTACAATCTCCACAGGCTTTCGAGAGGCCTGGGTCTCTCCCAAAAACGGTTTCCCGCTCACAGTAGAATTCACAAAACAGAATACCTAGACTAGTAGCCACCTACTTTATTTATACTACCCCCAACCCACCAACTCTCTATCCGCCTACCAATATCTACCCACTGACTTCTAAACCCAGGGTATAACACATTTTTTCTCGAATAAAATGTCATTTGGTGCATTCATGGAAACTGTTGTTTTTGGAAATGTCAACAATCTTATTATCACAAATAATTTTAGTCGTAGGATCACCTAAGATGACCATTGTACTTCAGTCAACTCTGAAGCTAAATGGCCCATGGAAGATTACTGGACTTGGCACTAGAAAGAGATACGATGTCTTTGTTTCTTGTTTTCCAAGATATAGGGCTTTTTCGAAATAAGTGTAGTACCTAGTATAAGAGCTCTGGCTGTAGGACATCTTGCATAGAATCCGATAACTTGTGTATGCCTTTGATCATTAGGGAGGGAGCACCCTTTGAAGACCTTAGAACATGCAACATTACATCCCAATGACTAGTATATGGGAAAGAGATGAATTGGCTTACCTTGTTCTTTGAAAAGACATATTGGGCATACTAACTATGAGATAGTTAAGTTTTTCACCCGATCACTAGCATTGATGGATCCATTAAGAGGGCAGGTGTGTGAACCCAGTCACTTCAACCCCAACGAAGAAAAAAATCCCCCCCTACCGAGTTGTGTCTGCAGCCTTGCCCCCAGCGCGCAATGTGTGCTTTGGTCGCCGGAGGTTCTGGATCCGCCTCCAAGGTCATAAAAATGTTCTCCGTTTTGCGGATAAAGCTTGATATTGGAAACCATTGGCGAATCAGCAATGTAGCTTCCAGTCAACGATGTCAAGAACATACTTTTTCTAGTAGAGGAAAATGCCTTTATGGTTGACCTCGATACCTAGGAGGTACTTCGACTCTCCACGTCCTCTATTCAAAACTCTTTCTGAATGAAGAATTACATTTCAAATTGTCTCTGGGGGCAAAAATGATGTTATCAACATAAAAATGCCAGAATAATTATTTTATCTTTGTTTATGTCTAAAGATGCTATAACAGTAATGCTTTATATCATGGCCTACAATTCTGCTTCAACTGATTTATTAGTTTTCATGATTTCTCATCCTCCAATAGCATAAATGATGGGTAGAACACAGGGCATTAATTCTAAAAACCAATATTTGAAATTTATGTACTACTCTTCATAGACAAATTTGTATGTTTCTGGGTTAACTGTGGGTATACGGGCTAACTTACGCCATCGCCTAATCCCCGGGATACCAAGAATGGCCTTGGAGTCAAGGGTTTAAAGGGTGTGAGTTTTTTTGTTGCATTTGTCGTCTATATATATATTTTATACTTAAAAAACATTATTAGTTGGTCGACTTTTATTTGTTTCATCTTAGATCATGGAACATGGGAATGCTTCAAGCTCAAATGCTTGAATTTATATTGTCTGATTGTTAATTTAACTGATGTGTAATTACTTATATATATATATATATATATATATATATATATATATATATATATCTTGCTAAAGATGATGTTGCTTTTATACTAAATAATACATTGCAAGTATGTTGTTAATGTTGTGTTGTAATTGATAAACTTATACATGGTGTTTGTTTTTATAGGGCTTGCATTTGGGGCCAATGAGAAAGTGAAGTTACACAGGAAAGTTGTGAAGCAGATTTTGATTGATTGATTGATTATTATTATTAGGTAATGTAAATGGATTTGTGACACATAATAACACCAGAAGTGGCAATTCAATTACTTGATTAATTGTCAAAAACTATATATATATATATATGTGTGTGTGTGTGTAAGATATATGTAAAGTGAGGTTCGAGAGAAAATCCCGAAAAACTGATAAACACTCGTGATTATTCACCTGGAAGGTAGGTACGTGTACATCCAAGTAATTTTTAAACAATTTATCCAGTATGTATATGTGGATATAGAAACCACAAAAACAACTTCAATTGTTTAAAATAACTGAAAAATTGAAAGTTATTTTTTTTTTAGTATAGCTATATAATTTTTTTTCCCTTAAGAACTACATCATGCAGATCCGAGGCTAGTGATGAACAAATCAGGTAACAGCAACGTAATTGGCTTATTCTTTTTTAATTTATAATTCTATAAATAAATATGAAAATTCAATCATAAATTATAAACATAAATGAAATAAAACGTGACATGCTCCGATTTAATAATATTCTATTTATTTGATTATAAATACAAATAAAAAAATGGAAAAAGAACATAAACTTATCAGGAATTTATTCATTGACATATGGAAATTCTTTCTTAACGATTGGAGTATCTTGACTTCGGTCGAAGCTATCCAAATAGTCTTTAAAGCAAACGCAAATCTTGAGCGATGATGGATAGAATCGGAAAACAACCTTCCGGCTATGGTTTGCTCGGCAAATTTTTCATCTCGGCTTATACGGTTGGGTTTATAATACGGGAAACACAACAGGTGCAGAAAAAACACCACCGCATATATGATGCAAAACCACTTTCAATTTTTGAACAAAACGAGTATTATTAGACATATTGTCAAAAGAAATACAAGCTATAACTTATCAAAATACAAGCTATAACTTCTCTTCCCTTGTGATAATTGTATGATTGTGTAACCATAACATATCGAAACCATGATCAATCGAGTGTAACCATAACTTATCAAAATCAAAAGTAATCATTGTGATAAATGTGTGATTGTCTAACCCTAACCGATTGAAACCATGTTCAAATTGAGTGCGCAAATGATGTTATAACAGTGATATCACATGATTATCACACTCATATTACACCAAATCGTTTAGTGGATTTCACCCGTAATCGTTGTGATAAATGTGTGATTGTCTAATCATAACCTATCGAAACCATGAGTAATCGTTGTGATAAATATGTAAATGTCTAACTCTAACCGATCGAAACCATCATCAAATCGAGTGCGCTGTTATGATAATGATATCACATGATTATCACACTCATATCACACCAAATCGTTTAGTCGATTTCGCCCGTAATCGTTGTGATAAATGTGTGATTGTCTAATCCTAAGCGAATGAAAGCATGTTCAAATCGAGTAATTGTGACTGATACCTTGAATAAAATGTGTTCTACGGCTTCTTCTTGTTGTTCGATTCCTGCATGCAAACCTTACTGCTTCTTCTTGCTGATCGATTCCTGTTTGCTGTTCGATTCTTGTTTGCCGTTTGATTTCCAGACTTTACGGCTTCTTGATCTTTGATTTCTCCTTGAAATCCTTTCGTTACCTTCTTAATCAATACCTTTTAATAAACGATAACTGTTGAATTAAGTGGATAACTCTAACTTCCAGGATTATAATATGATCGTGTATAAAATTGTATGATTTTGATTTTCATTATTACCCTTTCGAATCTCAATTTTTTTTGAATCGTTTTAAATTTCAATTTTAATTTAAGAAATCTTTTAATTTTAATTGTTATCACAATATGGGGTTAATAAGTTGTTCTAGCGTTCTCGTAAATCACAGAAGTTCTCATTTGAACCTTTCCCATTATCTCTCTCTATATATGTGTGTATGTGTGTGTGTATAGAATGTGTGGAAAGCTTCAAACATGACATGTTAAGAGTGACAAATTATCAAGTGTAAAAAGAAATCATGCATTCCTATTTATGCACTTTTTCCACAATTTGAATGCTTCATATTTGAGGGTAGAACTACTTGTCGGTATCTCAGTTGGAGTGATGTTTGGATCCACTTATAATTTGAACATCGTCAAAGCGATTGAATGCCCCATTGGATCAATAATCTTTCTTTTATTTAAAACATAGCTTCACATCATACAACCATACGTCTCTGGTTGGTATAAACGTCGTCAAATCCATGGCTTTCAATGCGGGACCGGGACCGGTAAGGACCGGGAGTGATGGCCAAACCGGCCCGTCCTGGCCCTGGACTGGTAAGGACCGTTATAGGACCGAAATCTGGGACCGGTTATGGATTTGGGGTGTTTCGTGGAACCGGCTCGGCCCGGCCCGATTTTTAAAAAATGTAGCTGTTTTTTGGCCTTCTTTTTTTGTTTTTGTTTTTTTTGCTTTCTAAACACTATATATAAGTGTCTTGGTTGAGGGATTTACATACTAAGTTCTCGATTCGCAAAAAAACGTTCACAATTATCGGTTTCTCGCTATATTTTGTAAGACAATGTAATTTTAATTATGATAAAACGTATTTTTAAAGTGTATTTGAGTGACCAATTACAAATTTTATAATATATTAAAAATATATATCATTAAAAAAAATTAATAACCGGTTACAATAAAGCTTGACCGGGCTCAACTTTTTCGAGCGGGACCGGGACCGGTTATAGCCGGTTATGAGAAATTTTGGGACCGGTTGGGACTGGGCCGGCCCGGGACCGGTTTTTGGCCATCATTCACACATACAACCATATGTCTCTGGTTGGTGTAAACGTCACAAAATCCATGGCTTTCAATGCGGGACAAAATATAGTTTCCCCTACGTCGTAAGCCTTAGGGTCCAAACGACTAGTTTAGAAAATAAATCATTATGCCACGTGTCAGTGACTCATTGGCAATAAAACAAACCGGGTCTTAGGGCCTAAGGCCCGGTTTGTTTTGAAAATGACTGGCTCGATTGGTTCGGCTAGGCCCAGTAGCATTTCAGGCTGGTTCCAGTTTACCGATTATGGATGTCCATCTCTATCTAAGGTTAAGTTTATGGACAAGGAGAGTATTAACTATTAAGTATTAAGATGAAATGTATGGACCTGGTATCTACACTATATTATAAAGCATTTGTCAAAAACTTTTAAAAACTATTTTTATGCATGAAGTACTGTTTATTAATGCATATTACTTAAAATTCAAGATTACAAGTAATTTTGCATAAGTACAACTTATTAAAACTCTATTTTTAAATTCGTGTAACTAACTGTAGATAAGCATAATCAAATACAAGATGAACATTCATTTTAAATATAGAAAATCAAAATTATAATTAAGATAATCATTGAGTTCTAACATAATGTTTAATTATTATCTTTATAAAAAATGATATTATTAAACCAAAAAATAAATTACTTTGTTATTAAATCTAAATTAGCGTGTATTAAAAAATTAAATTAAAGAAGTTACACCGAAAAAAACGATAATTATTAAATAGTTAATTTGATACTATCAATTTATTTATTTTCAAAATTTTATGTTATCTTCAAATTTATATTTCATTCAAAAATAAAAATATTATTGTTTTCTCAAAACCACATAAAATCGTGCATTGAATACAAACTAAACAATTAAATGATGATTTATCTCGTTGCATTGTACGAATACCGTTCTAGTCACTCAAAAGAAAGGAGACTATTTTCTAACTACTTCAGAATAAGCTCTTAAATCAATAGCAACATTTTTAACATAACACCAAATACAATCAAGTTTGTCTTAATTCAACTTATTTTCGTCTCAGTCGATGTTATAATACGGTTTTATGTGGTTTTTAGAAAGCTATAATGTTTTTATTTTTGAATAAATATATATATGAAGATATCATAAAAATTTGAATTTTTTTTATATTAGTATCAAACTAACTATCTAAAATTTACCTTTTTTTGTATATTTTTTTAATTCATTTTTATTTTTGGTTTAATAATAAAGTATTTTGTTAGAACTCGATTATTATTCTAATTATATTTTAGATTTAAAATGAAATGTTTATCCTTTATTTGATTATGCTTATCTGCAGTTAGTTAAACGAATTCAAACATAAAGCTTTAGTAAGTTGTACTTATGCACAATTTACTTGTTATATTGAATTACAAGTAATATGCATCAATATATAGTAATTCATGCATAATAAACGGTTTTTAATAGTTTTTATCAAATACTTTATAATATAGTATAGATAATGAATTTTTCTTCTTCTCAATAACATAACAAACTTTCAAATCGTACTCATTTTTATCAATAGCAGATCCTTTTAGTTGCCTAAAACAAAAACCTTGAAATCTAAAAGTTACAACCCTGGATATATAAATATGAACACCAAATCGAGGTTGGTGTTATCATGGATGCAGCGTATATTTTAGACAATGTCGACGACCATGAAATAATGATGTAGCGTGGCAGTAGGGGCAGTGGTGACAAGGGAAGCGGTGGACTAACCTAAGGTGGAGGGGCGCGTCGTATGCTCCGACAAGGTCGTGACACCTTTGTTTCATGAAGTGACATTGTTGCAACTGAAGAGATATATGAATGTGCTTTTTCAAAGTGGTTTGTAACTTAGGGGGTGTTTGGGATTGCTTATGAAAGCTGTTTTTTTAACTTATTTCAGTCTGACACCAGTGATAAGTTGTTTTCTGGTATTTGAATAGAAAAAAAAATTGTTTATACCGGTGCCAAACCGGTAATAAGCTGTTTTTGATAAGTTAATCGTTCATGACTTATGAAAAACTGCTTATTACCAGTTTACAATTTTAACCATGTTTTATTTAACTCCGGTTTGATACCACATAAGTTAATAATATTTTTACAAAAAAAAATATAAGTTGTTTTAAATAAGCAATCCCAAACACCCCCTTAAGCTGTGTTTGGCAAACTAGCTTATAACTTAAGTTTTGAATGATAAACTGACTGTTAGTTAAGAGTTTAGTTTTTAACTTATAAACTGGACATGTTTAATAAAATAAACTAATTGATAATTTGGTGTACTAGATGACAATGTAAAATAACATAATATG